TGTTGTATAGGAGAGAGTATTATTTTTAGAGTGAAAACTTAGAATAAATAAACAGGTTTTCAGAAATGGTAAAAAATTTAAAACAGATGAACAAAACTGTCATTAGTTACATCACATGACGTTTTAAACCAGTTTACCTTTCATTAATGAAAAACAAACAAAAATATTGAGTTTTTGTTTATTTGATTTTTTTACAGCATAGCAGATTTATTTATGTAAAACGATTCAAAATGCTTATTCAGACCTGATTTTAAATGTGCAGTATGCAAGTTTGACACCCAGTGATTCAACTAGGTATTGCATGCCTAGATAAAAACAAACGCAAGTGCAGGTTGCCAGGAGTGAGTCTGAAATCGTGTTCTTTATAAAAGTAACGGCACGTGATAGAAGGAATATTTTCCATACTAAAAGCAGTTTTTGTTCTAACCAACACCTGATATTTTAGAAATGCCATTTATTTCTTGCAGCTGAACAACAGAAAACTCTGAGTTGGTTTAGGTTTGATATTCACTGGACATTCGCGCACACAATTTTTGGGATCATCAGTAAATTACATTGACAGAACCAAAACACACAGTAATGCAAAGCAGAAAAAAAAAATTCTAGAAGATTTCAGTAAATGGTTATAGAGGCTAGACTGATTTACTACAGGTAGCAAGGCTTCTACCCATATTTTCATTTTTATTGGTACAGTTAGTAAAAAAATATTTGTGTACCGTAAAAATGTGAATTATAAAATGGGTAAAATCTCACCTGTAGCAAGTCAGTCTGGTCTATGCAAATGTACTGTAAATTACTGTATATATATTTCAAAAATACTTGCATACTGTACAATTATGAAGTAATTGGTAATTGGTAAAGTCTCACCTGTAGTAAGTCAGTGAGTCCTCTTTGAATGTACTACACTCTTTAAATACATAAAATTACAGTAGGGTGATTCACCGCAAAAACAAGTTTAAATAATTTGTGTACTGTACAAATATGAATGAAAATATGTGTAAAATATCACCTGTAGTAAGTCAGTGAGGCCTCTGTGAATGTATTACGCCCTTTAAAATCATAAATTTACAGTAGAGTGGTTTACTGTAGAGTACAGTAGAGTATCTTACTTCAATAATTGTGTATTGTACAAATATGAATTAAAAAATGAGTAAAATCTCATCTGTAGTCAGTCAGTCTGGCCCATGTGAATGTACTACACCCATTAAATTCATAATATTACATTAGGGTGAATTACTGTATAAATTTATTAAAAATATTTGCGTACTGTTCAATTATAAAGGAAAATATTGGTAAACTCTCACCTGTAGTAAGTCAGTGAGGCCTCTGTAAATGTACTACAGCTTTAAATGTCATTAAATTACAGTAGGTTGAATTACTGTAAATGTTTTTTCAAAAATAGTTGTGTACTGTAAAAATATTAATGCAAATATGGGTAAAATCTCACCTGGAATAAGTTTGTCTGGCGTCTGTGAATGTACTACAGCCTTTAAAATCATAAAATTACAGTAGGGTGGTTTACTGTAAATATTTGTCTTCAATATTTGTGTATTGTACAAATGTGAATTGAAAATGGGTAAAATCTCATCTGTAGTAAGTCAGTGAGGCCTCTGTGAATGTACAACACACTTTAAAATGATAAAATTACAGTAGGGTAATTTACTGTAAACGTTTTTTAAAAATATTTGGGTATTGTAAAATTATGAATGAAAATATGGGTAAAATCACACCTGTAGTGACTTAGAGAGGCCTATAGAAATGTATTACACCCTTTAAAATCCTAAAATTACACAAGGGTTTATTACTGTAAATAGTTTCTCAAAATATTTGCATCCTGAATAATAATTTGAATAAATATATTAATAAATCTCAAGTGTAGTGAGTCTTTCTGACCTTTGGGAATGTACTACACCCTTTAAAACGAGAAAATGTTGGGTGAATTACTGTAAATATTTTTTACAATTAAGCCAGTATGTTGTTGGGGATGTGTTACACACTTTAAAATGAAAAACAATTATATATACACAGACACACAAAGAGTTGGGTGAATTATAATTCAGTGTAATGTTAGTGTTGTTCTTCCATATGTATGTACTATACAAATATGAATGAAAATATAGGTAAAATTAAAATCTCTCCTGTGGTAAGTCAGTTTTGTCCCTAGGAATGTGAGAACACTTTAGAGTGAGAAGCTTACATCTAGGTGAAATACTGTAATTATTATTTTCATATATTTGTGTGATGTATACATAAATGAAGGAGAAAATTACATTTAGGTGATTTAGCTTATGTTTAATGTTTACTTATGATAAGAGATATTGCCTTTTTCTGCTTTGCAAGTACCGTATAATTAGAGGTCTAGAAGCCTTGCTACCTGTAGTAAATCAGTCTGACCTCTATAACCATTTCCTGGAATCTTTTAGAATTTTTTTTTCTGCTTTGCGTTACTGTGCATTTTGGTTCTGTTAATGTAATTCACAGATGATCCCTAAAATTGCGTGCGCGAATGTCCAGCAAATATTAAACCTAAAACCAACTTTACCGAGCTAAAACAGCAACAATGTTTACCTCAGGTAAACCTCATGTGCTCATGAGCTAATCAGTTTTGCCCAATGCTAACAAATATTTTTTATGCGTCCGACATTCAGCTGTGCAAGAAAACATACAATCTGCCATGAGTGACGCCATCTTTTATTACTTTTATAAGTAATTTTATTCTAAATCTTTGACATAATTGTTCTTCAAACAAAAAATTACCAATAAAAAGTTGTGAAGCACCAAAAGTTGCCCATTTTAAAAATCCTTGAATTTTCAAATGTACTTTTTAAAAGAGAGTCTAGAAAATTGTGAAGCTCTACATTATTATTATTATTATTATTATAATTATCATTCATTCATTCTTTTTCTTTTCGGCTTAGTCCCTTTATTAACCTGAGATCGCCACAGCGGAATGAACCGCCAACTTATCCAGCATATGTTTTACAAAGCGGATGCTCTTCCAGCTGCAACCCATCACTGGGAAATGATACACACTCATTTACACACATACATACACTACAGCCAATTTAGCTTACTCAATTCACCTGTGCCGCATGTCTTTGGACTTGTGGGGGTAACCGGAGCACTCAGAGGCAACCCATGCCAACACAGGCTGAACAGGCAAACTCCACACAGAAACGCCAACTGACCCAGCTGAGGCTTGAACCAGCAACCTTCTTGCTGTGAGGCGAACATACTAACAACTGCGCCACCATGCAGCCTATTGTAATAATTATTATTATTATGTTTTAATTATTTTTATTACAATGGCCAGGTTCAGATTGAGGAAGAAATAAATAAATAAGAAATGAGGCGTATAACTGCAAAAAGGCCCACTTTTGGAGATAAAAGAATCACCCCTTTCACCAGGCCTGAACCACCTACCAAAACATCAAAACAAATTTATACTTTACAATCAGTAAAATCTATATAAGCTATATAGCTTACATATTTTTATACAAATCTAATATAATATAAATATATTATATGTACAAATTTTATACAAACTGTTTTGGATTGACTCATTTTTTACAAAACACTAGCTAAACACTATATAACATTGATGCCCAAACTTAGTCTTATATCGGGTCAAAAGCCAAACTTGACTAAGGGCTGTGGGCTGAAGGTACAATAAAATTTCCAGGATTAATCTCCTTTTTTATTTCCAAAACTAATCTCCTTATTTATTTATCTCCTTATAGCATTGCTTTAAATCAGGGGTCACCAATCTTGGTCCTGAAGGACCGGTGTCCCTGCAGGGTTTAGCTCCAACTTGCCTCAACACACCTGCCTGGGTGTTTAAGTATACCTAACAAGACCTTGATTAGCTTGTTCAGGTGTGTTTGATTAGGGTTGAAGCTAAAATCTGCAGGACACCGGCCCTCCAGGAACAAGTTTGCTGACCACTGCTTTAAATGATATTAACGAATGCAGTGTATTTAAAAAATGTTGAATGAATTTATAACCGCAAAAACATAAACAATGCCATTAATTTAATGAAGTTCAATGCTAAATAAACTAAGCTGCACCTGCCTTTGCCTTGATTTGCTCGCCAATGTCTTGTACATTGCCAGATGTTGGTTGAGTGACAGTATTAACAGTATTTAAAAATCTGACGAACTTATAAAACTAAAGAAATTACAAAAAAACAAAAGGTTATATTAGAAATGATGATATGTATGAAGATATTCAGACCACCAGCCCATCATTTTCCCTCTCTTCTCAAATGGAATAGTGGCCCAAGTCAAAGGTTAGAATGGGTCAACTAGGTCTGCCGTAGGCCCTAGTTTGGGCATATCTGCAATTCATTCATTTGTATTCTTTTCGGCTTAGTTCCTTTATTAATCAGGGGTTATCCAGCATATGTTTTATGCAGCGGATGCCCTTCCAGCTGCAACCCATCACTGGGAAACACCCATTCACTCTCATTCACACACACATACACTACAGACAATCTAGCATACCCAGTTCACCTATAGTGCATGGCTTTGGACTTGTGGGGGAAACGGGAGCACCCGGAGAGAAGAGTACATGGGAAGAACATGCAAACTCCATACAGAAATGCTAACTGACCTAGCCAAGGCTCGAACCAGCAACCTTCTTGCAGTGAGGCAACATCTACCCACTGCGCCACTGTTTACACTAAAGTTTGATTAAATAATATTCTTTCATTAAATTTTGAAGACAAGTGGTTTATAAAGTAGACATAAAATGCAAATGTTACTCAAAAACTTACCTATAAAAAGTGTTTACAAACAGGATACTGAAGACTCATTATAGAGCTGCATATGCACACTTTTAAAATAATATATATGAATATTTATTAACTTCTAGCCAGACTCCATTTTAGTTTGCTTTACATTTATCTCACACTAGTTAAAAAAACGTCTCAAATCCTTCTACAGAAATAAAATGCAAAACAAAATAAATAAATATATAAATAACCTGTGGATTCCGGAAGTGAGAGAGACGCGCATGTGCAGAACTGTCAAACGCAACAGCGAAAGACTGGAAACTCTGGCGCTAATGTCACCACCACCACCCCAACACTAAAAACACGACTCGACTGATGTGCCATTTACGACATTATTTACCTCTCAACCATGAGACCTCTGCTTAAACTACAAAGACGGCTCCGTCGTTGCGTTTTGACCGGGAATCTACTCTGTTTCGACGCTCAGAGCTGGGCTTGCTGAATGAAAACAGCCCCGCAGGACTTTCTGACAACCCGCCGACTGGAAAAATGTGATTCAGGAAATTCAGGCGTAGTTTCGCTCGTCCGGTTGTTTACACACTTTTATCGGCGGTTTTGTTTCTTCATAGCCGAATTACTCTGTCGGCCGCCGTTGTTTTGGGATTAAACTTAAACTCTGGGTGGGATAAGTGACACGTTGCGCGCTAAGCTAATTTAGCATTCAACTCGGGTGATTTAAACGCACGATAATCCGTTTAGAAGACGCTGTAGCTTTAAAAGACGCCGTTCAGAGCAAAGGATACAGGGGTAAAGTAGACTTGAATGATTGATTAAACTAGCGGTGGGACTGCGTAACGTTAGTTTTGATCTGCTTGATTGAGACGATCGAAGCTTCTCCGTAAATTCTCTTTATTTGGGATGCCTATAGACGGGTGTAGGTGATGTCCAGTGACTGAACTTGAGTTAACGTTAGCAGAGGATCATGATGGCTCAGCTGGAGAATGGACGTCTGTCTTCTGAGGACACCATGAGTGTGAGGACGTTGGGCAGTCAGTTTGATGAGGAAAGCTCCTTCGGGTCGGACTCTGAAATCAACGGGTTCACCAGCTCCAGACAGACCGACAAGTATGGATTCATCGGAGGAGCCCAGCAGTATTCAACCGAAATGTAAGTAAAAGTTATCGTTAGTATATTGGGTTTTAGATCGTGTCAGATTCTGTTTGTTTTGAGGGATTTGGGCGTAAGGCAGAGAGCTGGTCACGTGATTGGAGTGTGTAGTAGAAAGTATCCAACGCTCGGACTTTTAGTGGGTGTGTGTGTGTAAGGAGTAGAAAAGTGTTTGGAAGGAGCATAGTTTAGATTCTTGACACACAGTTAATCAGAGGAATTCAAAACAAAGGAAACTGCGTGAATGATTTACTGTTACCTAATCTGTTTAATCTCTTGCGTATGTACGTGTGTCATGTATGTTTGTCCCACAGTCCAATAATAATAAACAACAATAATGTCAATTAATAAAAACTGCATTCATTTTCTAAAATTTGATATATGCTCACATGTGTACCCCTTAAAAAAGTATGATGTAAAGCTGGTTTTGTATTCAGAACTTCTCCTTTATAATATAATTTCAGAAAAGCATTCTTTGCCCATGTAAATAGCGAAATCGTATTAGCAGCCAATGATACTACTCTGTTCTCCGCTGTTTACAGTCAAATAAATAGTGAAAATGTTGTTTTCAAGTCATAATTAAATGTGTTTTCAGAACCAAATATTCAAAGTACTATGGTAAACAACATAGGCAGCATTTGACAAGTTGTCACTGAACAAATGTGCAAATAACATCTATCAGAAGTAAATGACGTTAAGTAAATTCAATTCACTTTTATTTCTATAGTGCTTTTACAATATAGATTGTCAAAGCAGCTTCACATAGAATATTATAGTAAATAAAAACAGTGTCAGTTCATTTTTCAGAGTTTAAGTTCAGTTCAGTTTAGCTTACTTCAGTTTGGTTTAATATTCAATACTAAGAGTTCAAACACTGAGGAGAAAATCCATTGATGCACAGCTCTACGGGTCCCGAGCTATGCAAGCCAGTGGCGACAGCGGCGAGGAAAAAAAAAACTTTACCAATTGGTGAAAGTGAAGATTTAAAAAAACCTAGAGAGAAATCAGGCTAAGTTGGGCACGACCATTTCTCCTCTGGCTAAACGCCTTGTGCAGAGCTGCAGTCTAGGCGCTGGAGACTGGAGAATGCTGGACCTCAGCGAAGACTCGTCTGTCCCTGGAGCGTCACAGGAATAGGTCACATGCTCTCCACTCCTCTAAGACCACCACAGCAGAAATGAACAAATCAACAATATATATATATATATTTCTATGAATGATGTTGCATATATTACACTATATACTTCTTAAAAAAATTATATATATATATATATATATATATATATATATATATATATATATATATATTTTTTTTTTTTTTTTTTTTTAAGAAGTATGTAGTGTAATATATGTAACATCATTCATAGAAATTCAGTCTGATATAAAATACTTGTTTAATAAAAACGTTTTTATTAAGGGGAGTCAGTTTTATTTGGTAAATAGTTCTTTTTCAGTGCACATTATTTTAAATCAGCTGTATAGAAAATCATGATGTTAATGTTCATAATGTCTTTTCTTTTAATAAGTAATCTATTGACAGTTCAATTCATTTAAATGTAAAATTTGAATTTCATCTAAAATTAAAGGACTGTCGTGACTTACACTAGCAATGCAATAGTGATGCAATGATTATTGGTTTTGGTTGTACGATTATAGACTGAGGAATAATCATGGTTTTAATCATGCATTCATTAATTTTAAAACACTACTAGTGTAGAATATCACATGAAAACTCTTTATATTTCAAAGTGTTAGTTATTGTTGCTCAGTAACCAAACAATACAGCTCAAAATAAAAATAAAAAGCAAACAATCAATGGACCTTTTCTCTATGTACTTTAAAATAAATAAAATAAAAATAAATTTGGCTTTTAAACATAAATAATAATTTTAAACTGAAAATAAATGACAGAACAATGAATGAATGAATAAATAAATAAATAAATAAATAGAATAAATAAAAAAAACTTATTTGTCTAATATAAATCTCAGCATCTTATTAGCTAAGTATTTTCCTTTTAAAGAGAACAAATGTAGTCAAAGGCTGCTGAACCTCTGTCTGAAAGGCACTTTTGATCAACTATATTGCAAAATTGTTTGATATTTTCATTTATTATTTTTTCCTCTTTGGAGTAGAATTCTGTGTATTCCATACAAAGTATGAAGCTGATCAGGGAGGCAGCTGTATGGAATCCAAAAGTTTACATTCTTAATCACCTGGGTCTGTCTCTAAAAGTGAGGGGGACGTATTCCCCATCCCCCAAGTTGCTACACCCCTGGTTAAAACCTATATAATATATTTAAATACGCTGAACTGGAGACAAACACAATCAAGATTACCCAATCTTTTTGGTGACCTATAGAATTTTTGTTGTGCAACTCGTTAAACCAGTTTTGATCGTTTTTGCCAACTTTTTTTACTGGAAGTGGGTATAAAATATTCATCTGTAAGTAAATGTAGTGTAAAATAGAGCATCAGGGTGTTTCTTCCTAAGTAACTTTGTAGCCAATCACTTAAAATTTTCTATCTTTTATCATCTGCCCCAGGATGCTGTAATAAAAGTTCTTTAAAGAAGTAGTCATTCATCTATTTATAGCTGTAGATCAGTTTGGATTTGTGACTCTCAGAACATTCTTTTATCCAGAATTAATGGTTTCATACAGTAGCCCAAAGCAGCAGCGGGCTGGTCTGGTGCTGTTGAATTGTTAAAGAGAGTGGAATAGATGAGTAAGTGATAGTTGTCCCGCTGTACTGAGCATTCAGGCGCTTTCCGTTTCCTGTGGTTTATGGGACAGCTGCCCTGAGGTTACTCCGGCTATGCCAACATAACGATCAGGAAAGCTGGTCAAGCTCTTTTTTTTTTTTCTTTTTTTAAGAGTGTCTCATCAGCAGACTTGAATACCACAATCTAATAGAGAGTGTGTATCATATAATTAAAGTAGAACTTTAGGAAATTGCTTCTTTTATCGTTATACATGTGCATGTGTATCATGCATGTATGAAAATATAACTGTTGTTCACTTACATATTTGAGTCTTGTTTTTATTTTTTACCTTTTTTTAATGGTTTTTAGGCCTATAACATCTGGCAAAGGGCTTTCTTCTTTCATTCTTTAGGAATGCATATTAATGCACACTGTCCCTTCATTGTAAAAAAAAAAAAATCAAATAAAAAGATACATTCTTTTCATTCTTCTGTTTTTGTACATATTTACTCTGAAAAATGAAAAGGAAGTAAAACCAGCAAGTTATAGCTTGATGGGGAAAACATTGAAAGAATCATTGGTTTCATATCAAATTTCTAGTGGTTAGGATCAGTGTCTAAGTAAGAGGAACTGAAGGTGGCTGTTGTGCTGGCATACTAATATAACATGCCTAGGCCACAAGTTAAACGCTTTATATTTGACCAGAGGAAACACAGGAGCAAAAAAAATAAATAACAGGCCTGTTCACCATTAAAGCCTTAGGCAAACTAGTTAACCACAGCTTGAACACAGAGAGGTTCTCCTTTATAATTAGTCAGGCTAAAAGTGCCTAATAGTCATCTTCTGAACGGCTCTTTCCATTAGTCATGACATTGTTTGTTAGCTTAATTATGTTGTCAAATTACTAATTAAGCTTGTTATGTTGTATACTAGGGCTGCACTTTTCAAAAATCTGATATTGTGATATTTTATTTTTCGATTAAATATTGTGAAATATGTACAGCTTCACAAGAAGGTTTGAATAGCTCTTTGACTTTTTTTGGGGAGTCTAACAGTATTCGAGTACAGAAATTGAATAAATCACAATGCAAATTATGTTTTTCTTACTTTGTTTTGTCTCTTTTAGTCCCAATATCAACAAAAAAGTCTTAGATCAAGTAAAAAATATTTTGTTTTGTTTTCACCTTCAGAAGAAGTAAGTCAAATTAAAAGTTTTTTTTTTTTCTCTAAAACAGGCACAATTATCTGCCAGTGGGGAAAGTTAAATAATCTTGTTTTCGCTGTGGATGTGGATATTTAGACTAGAAACATGACAAAAATGTTTGCATAAATTGTATAAATAATTAAATACAAGTATTCTTTCTTACACCTCCAAACATCATAAATGTTTTAAACTTTCTTGAAATGCTCAGTCACAGGCCTAAATGAAATGCATGATAAACCTTCACTCTGATATGGTTAAACTTAGCAGTGACTCTATGTAAATTATGTGTTCTAGCTGCTATAATGCCCATACAATGCCCCCCCCCCCACCCAACACTAAAGTTCTGGTAAAAACTTATGTATTAAAAGCCCAATGCACTAAATGCACACTACTTCATTACAGGAAAAAGCATCAAATTAAATTTTAAGCTGGTTAGTATAAATCAAGTAAAATATATGTGTAAAATCCAAATGTTTAATAAAACACAATTTATTGAATAAAAGTAGCATATTATTCTATCAATTCTAACCAAATCTCAACCTTGTTATGAAATAATAATTTTACACCAAAATAACGATAACCTTGTTGTTTCTGTATGATACGATAAAGTTGTTTGTGTATGTTAATACCTTACAGTAGTGTAAAAATGATATAATAAAGTGGCAATTTCATATGTCATATTCATAATGCAGCTTTTTTTTATTATGAATGCAAAAATGTTAAAGGTTAAATTTGTTTTATGTTAAATAAAATAGATAGTTTTTTAGTTCGATAGAGAGCTAACTCTTATTTTTTATATGAGTACTATATATTTTGAGTTTAATTCACAGAATTTTTACAAAGTACAGTTGAAGTCAGAATTATTAGCCCCCTGAATTATTAGCCCACCTGTTTATTTTTTTCCCCAATTTCTGTTTAATGGAGAGAATATTTCTTCAGCACATTTCTAAACATAATAGTTTTAATCACTCCTTTCTAATAACTGGTTTATTTTATCTTTTCCATGATGACAGTAAATAATATTTGACTAGGTATTTTCCAAGACGCTTCTGTACAGCTTAATGTGACATTTAAAGGCTTAATTAGGTTAATTAAGTTAACTAGGCAGGTTAGGGTAATTAGGCAAGTTATTATACAACGATGGTTTGTTCTGTAGACAATCAGAAACAAATATATAAAGGGGCTAATAATTTTGACCTTAAAATGTTTTTAAAAAAATTAAAAACAGTTTTTACTCTAGCAAAAATAAAACAAATAAGACTTTTACCAGAAGAAAAAATATTATAAGACATACTGTGAAAATTTCCTTGCTCTGTTGAACATCATTAGGGAAATATTTAAAAAAGAAAGAACAATTCAAAGGGGGGCTAATAATTCTGACTTCAACTGTATGTTGTATACTCTAAATTCGCAAATAGTTTTTGGTCACATTCACTCATTCATTTATAACACGTTTATTTTCTCTAATCAAAATATAAAACACAAATACTGATTGACATTTTTCTGATCCATTAACTCTGTGGTTAGTTGTTATGGATAAGATAAACAGATCTTTCAACATACCGTTAACATATTTGCTCTCCTGTTAATTTATGTTTCAGGTTTTACTTCAATGTTACGTCCATAATGCTGGAATTCTTTTACATTTTACATGTAAAACAGATATTTAAAACACACAATCATGTTTTATTATTAAAATATAAAATAACTATTTTAATGTATTTTTTTAATATATTTATTTATTTTAGCAGGGCTTAATTATCTGTATTAGGTTCTTAGTCTTAAAAAGGATAGTTCACCCCCAAAAAATTTGCTCCCAATTATTACGAGTTTTTTTTCTACTGTTGATTACAAAAGAAGATATTTTGAAGAATGCTGGTTGCTGGAACCTGTCAACTTCCATTCGAGGAAAAAAATACTATGCAAGTGAGTGGGCCTCAGCAACCAACATTTTAACAATAAATAATAGTGCGATATGAAATGTATATGTATTATTTTATTTCTCCTTCCCAGAGCAAATGCGTGGCTGTTGTCTGTATGTGACAGCCTTACTAGCCAATTGAGTGAGCACATCTTCGTTCTGCCCAATCAGAAATGCGCAACTGAACTATGCGGAATGCCCACAAAAAAAAAAAAAAAGAAAACAAATAGAAAAGCGCAGACAATTGGGAAAATGGCGTCTGCTGCTTCAGAAATGCGATGAACTAATATAAGAGAAAAACAGCATTAGTAATATGGGAATGTTTTAGTTTCAAACTCGCAGACACTGAACAAAAACAGGTAATTTTTAAGAGCTGACGCAGAATTGTTGCCACGGCTTGCAGACAGACTATTGAGCTGCAGCTTGACTACAAAATTAAATTGTAAATCAAATCGCAATTACTATATCTGTCAAAAAAATCACAATTAGATATTTTCCCTAAAACACAGATCTAATCACAAAGCTGCTTAAAACAAGTATTTTATAATGATTTTTAATTTACTCTGTTGTTAAATAAGTAAATACAAAGTGTTGAATGGAAGGATCTAGTTTTTCACTGCTTAGTGCTTTCATTCTGACTCGCAATCAAATGCAGAAGGTGTGAATGAGGAACTCATATTAATAATTTACACATTTTTAGTATAAGTATGTTTAGAAAAGCTAACCAGCTGTACATATAAGTTGAGAAAACCTTAACATGTTTAATATGTTAAATGAATATCCCAGTGTATTGTGTGCCACTTTGTTTTACATTTTTTATTTTTTTTATGAAAAGGTCACAAGAAGCAGCTATTTTAGTTGTTGGTTTAGTGGTTGCACAGTTTTTAAGACCAATAGGTTTTTATAGATCAAATGAGTAGTTCTCCCAAATAGAGACATTTTGTCATCATTTACACCCCCTCATATAATTTCAAACCCATCTGACTTGCCATTTCTTTCTTTTGTGGAACACAAATTAAGAAGTTTATGCAGAGGATTTCCATGCAGTCGTATTATATCCTTGAAATATGACAAAAAAAAAGTGTTATATTATAAAAATAGTCTATGTGTATCTTTTCAAATGTTGTTTGCTCTTCCGCATATTTAAACTTGACCTGGTTTGTTATGAGAATCGTTGCATTTACATGTACTCATTTCGCAAATGCTTAAATTTAAAGCGGCTTAAAACTAAAGTCAATAAAAGCAAGTCAAATCATCCTGAAGAGCAGCAGTATGTTGATGCTGTGATAAATATAAGTTAGTTTTACATAATTAACATAATCTTTTAGAACAACCAAGTATACAACAATTACATTTAGAATTAAATAGGGCATGCCGTTATTGTCGTTTTATAACTCGTTATATAATAACAGCTAATAGTGCAGCTGTTTTTAGACAAGTCATGTCACCAGCATGCAACGTTAAAAGTGAAATTATTTTTGTGCCACTAACACTGCATTATGTAAATAAAGTAGGGAGTTCACATTTAGAATACAATAGGGAATGTCATTATTGTCGCTTCATAACAAATAACGATCATAACGAATCAAATAGCTGATAGCGTAGCTGTTTTTAGACGAGTCATTCCACCAACATGGAACGTTGAAGGTGAAAGTCCTTGAAAAGTTGTTTTTGTGCCACAAACACTGATCATTATGTGAATAGAATAGGGAGTTCACGTTTAGAATAGAAAAGGGAATTCCATTATTGTTGTTTCATAACAAATAACGATCATAACAAAGCAAAAAGCTGATAGTGTAGCTGTTTTTAGCAAAGTTATTTCACCAGTGTCAAACGTTAAAAGTAAAAGTCATTGAAAAGTGATTTTTGTCCCACAAACACTGTTCATTATGTAAATAGAATAGGGAGTTCACATTTAGAATAGAATAGGGAATTCCATTATTGTTGCTTTATAACAAATAATGATCATAACTTATCCAATAGCTGATAGTAACTGTTTTTAGACAAGTCATTCCACCAGTGTGGAACGCTAAAAGTGAAAGTTTTTGAAAAAGTAACTTTTGTGCCACAAACGCTGTTTATTATGTCCATTAGACACAAAAGCATTTTTTTAGTGCTGCTATACTATCGATTATGATCAATCACATCCAAAATAAAAGTTTGTTTGCATTTAGAGTGAGCATCACCACTTATTTTGCATTATGTATTACATAATACATGTTCTGTAAATAAAACTAAACTAACTTATTTTATTGCAATAAGTCATTTAACAGCACTACATTTGATAATCAATTTCATGTTTCTTATTCTCTCTTTCTCTTTCCCACAGGGCTCAAGATGTGCCTCTGGCAGTGTTAAGACACAGGGAAGCCAAATGGCTGGATATGTTAAACCATTGGGACAAATGGATCAGTAAAAGGTTCAAGAAGGTATGAGCGGCCATCCAAATCCACCATTTTATTTAGTCACTTGTATTTTATTTTCACAGGGAGAAATCAATGATGTAAGACTCCAATTCCTTGCATGTAAGCACTAGAAATAAAGAGAGGAGGTACAAGTCCACCAAACAGTCAAAAACACAAGGAAATCATCTCCATATATAGCAGCGTTGGGCTTTAAATTACAACTGTCATCTTCTTTCTCTATCATTTTTGTGTTTCCCCTTATTGACTTGCTCAGACAGTTTTTAATTATTCCATGACACAATGCATTAAACACGGCTCTGTCTGGACAAGCCTTAAATCACATCAGCTCTCCTTATTTGGTCTTCAGTGCTGTGTGTATCTATTAGTGTTCACCTCTGTTTTTCTCTCAAGCATTATAAAGCTTTCACTGGGAGTGAGGCGTCTTCAGGTAAAGGCAACAGAAGGCCTTTTTAACACTATTCGTTGGCCTTTATGTTTGCATGCCTGCATTACTGTTTGTGCTTGTCTTTGTGTCACATAGATTGAAAGCAACAGGACACATTTCTTGGGTTGGGAATTTAAAACCGGTTATTTCTGAAATCATTCAAATTTCAACATGGCTTTTCTGTGGTAAATCTAAAGTGGCCATGCTTTTTTGGTTGTTTTTATTAAATTTAAAGGTGCCATGGAATGGATATTTCCACTCGCGCTTGTCACTACAGGTCAGAGTAACAACACATGTAAAAATGAATGCGGTGGCTAGCAGCAGTGAGGAGATTGTAAATAAAAAAGAATGCAAGGATGTCGCCAGAGTGGCTTTTTGGTTCCTTTTTTTGTGCATCCCAGCTGCTACCACCCCATCTGAATATTTTTATTTTTTTATTTATTATTTTTTGAATAGTGGTAATGTAGTCATCCAACTTGACAATTTGTAATGTTGCAAAATATATTTGAATAGTGGCTAGTACTTTTACTTGAAAGCTCAGATTTGATTATCATAATTTGAGGTTTATTGTGTCATTTTTATTCACACCCTAAAGTTTGCTTTAACAGTTTGTGACATTTTATTTATTAATTTTAAGAGTCTCTTTAACAATTATAATTCATTATATATATATATATATATAAATGGTTTCCGCTACATTCATTCTTCCATGGCGGGGCGCCATGCCAAAATTCTTCCCGCCACGGCTACATTACAGCTTCTCATTCAAAACATTTAATGTTTTTAATAGCGGGTAATAATCGCACCAAAACGTATTAAAGGGTAAGTGAATTATAACAGCACAAACTTTTCTGCATCCGTAGTAGAGCTGTGCGTCATTTGTTTACCCTTTAAGGTGACGTGCTGACTGACTGGCTGAGAGTTGCGTGAGGCCAGCAAACACAACGTATACGTATAGCCTCATGCGTATACGACGCATTAATGCTACTCTCTAGGTCTATTGGAGACATTCATAAATATTCCTAGCAAATCTAATAAATGCTGGAGACATACTCAATACATAAACCAACTTAATCACACTCAGCAAGGTTTGCTTGAGAGCACACAAGGAGATCTGCACACTTTTGAAGCGGCTTATATTTGAGGGGGCGTGCAAGAAGTTTTGTGCACAAGCAGAGGAAATTGACGCGCAAGCAAAGAGATTCGCATGCTCTGCTATTACATAAATGCGATCCCGACTTCTAATACTGCGCTTACGACATTTGTCATTGAAATCACGACACAGGTAGTTGGTAGATCTATGTCAAAAATAAAAGGTTTGGCTTAGTTGGCGCTTCTGTGTGGAGTTTGCATGTTCTCCCTGCGTTCACGTGGGTTTTCTCCGGGTGCTCCGGTTTCCCCCACAGTCCAAAGACATGCGGTATAGGTGAATTGGGTAGGCTAAATTGTCCCCAGTGTATGAGTGTGTGTGTGTCTGTGTGGATGTTTCCCAGAGATGGGAAACATCCACTGGAAGGGCATCCGCTGCGTAAAAATATGCTGGATTAGTTGGCGGTTCATTCCGCTGTGGTGATCCCGGATTAATAAAGGGACTAAGCCGACAAGAAAATGAATGAAATGCATGCTAATATAGTCCAACCAAGCTTTTCATTCTGTTGAGGAAATGTCTGTGGTTATTAATGAGCACATTTTTTTAAATGACCTAAACTGCATCACTAAAATGTGCTATGGATATCAGAGAACAATTGAATTTTGAATCAATGCACTCTATGGCATCTTTAAATTTGCTTTATTATGTGGAAATTGAAAAGTAGAAATGACTATGTTTGACTATAAAAATGGATTACAACTTAAATTTGTTTAATACATTATAGTTTATTTTCACCATGATTTCCTAGGCTGCTAATCTATTGTACGAGTTGTATGCCAAAAATATTTCATTTAGAACGAGATTTAATTGTTTGCATAATAAAATATTAAATAATTGCTTAAACTTTATACGTTGTCACGGCCTTTCAAAAGCCCTAGGTTTTGCCCATTTTCAGCAAGAAGTGGTTAATTATTAATAATGTGATTTAAAATTTTGTATAATCACATATTTGTTTGCTTAATGTAAAAAGTAGAGGTCAAAATATGTTTGTTGTTTTATTTTTACATAAAATAGGTTAAACTGAATGATGATGTAACCTTATTTCCTTATTTACTACCTTTAAGTAGACACTTCTGTCTGATTTGCATTTTCATGTATCTTAAATAACTTTTATACATTTTGTCTGATGCAGATGATAAAATGGTAGGTTTAGTCAAATAATGATAAATAAAAACATATTTTTAACCCTATCCATTTATGAATTATTGGCTTGTATTTCATCAAAAATGTCAATCCCTCCAAATAAACATAGCATGCATTTTTGTTTTTTTTTTTTATATTTAATCGCCCCAATAATATTAATTAAACTCAGTCTGTCTTCAAGTTGAATAAGAGGCAGTGTGGTCACATTTCTTATGAATTTCCCTAAATGCATATTTTAATCCTGGCTGTTCACTGATGCAAGCAGAGTCTGAGCTGTTTTATAATCATGAGGTTTTGTTGTGGGAAGTGAGACTGAGATATTTGTGTTTCATAATGACATCTGGCTTAATTTGTGTAGTCATTGTGAATGCGTGCTAAACCCTGTTTAGTGGATTATTACTGTGTCGGTGTGTAATATTTAGAGCTCTTTCCCCCACAGGTGCGGCTGCGATGTCAGAAAGGGATCCCTCCATCATTGCGAGGCAGAGCCTGGCTTTACCTGTCAGGTGGAAAAGTGAAGAGAGAACAGAACGTTGGGATGTTCAAGGTGAGTCAAACTTAGACACACTAATTATAGGTGATTTTTTGATAGTCACACTTAAGGATGTGTGTTGTTTGTTATGTTATATTGTTGTTTTAATAATGATGTCCCTCACTTTGCATGAATCCTATGTGATGCCACATGTCTGATATCAAAACTCAAAATTTGATCGGTTCCAAACAAAACTTGTTGACTTTTTCATGTCTTCCTCCTCAGTGTGAATTACACACACCTATATAAATTTGGATGCTATTATATTAATATTTAAAATGTGTATGTCTCTTATAAGACTTAACTAGAGAGACTAGAAAATATTTAAGTTTGTAGTGTTAGTGTATGCAATTTATGTTTTACAATAAAGTTTTAGACAAGTTTGAGCGCTGTTATCCTGAATATCAACTTGTAAGTAGATGTAATGTATTAAATGTAATATTGATGTTATACAAGAGTACAACGGACTCGTGTTGTTGTGTAGATTTTTTTGGCCAAAGTATCTCAGAAGAACAAACTTGGGAGACCGCGAGAACAGAGAACCGGTCCTGTGAGAAATGAGATGCTGCGTTCTTCATAATGGTCACATTATTAATGTTGATTTAAAAATTACAGCATTCATACAAAGATTTATTGTTTTTTTTCCCTTTTCACAATATATACTATGCATAAAAACCATACAAATATACTTTGCACAATTCAAACAAAACAAATTTGAATACGAATTTCAGCAAAGAAACACACTTATTGTGTTTATGCATTTATTAAGATTTTCATGGTAGTTTAATTTCACTGTCTCATTTTGGGAAACCCCTGTGACAAATGAGTTATATCTCTGGACTTTAATAATAAACGGGAATAAAATGCTGTGCTGTCCCTTACCTTTTATTTAGCCGCAATGACTTTGTTGAGCAATGACGAGCAAGTGTGCATCGATGCATCCTCAATATCAAGACTACATCCGGGAACTGTCATGCATCCTTCGTTTTTGCGGCCTTGAGTTTTGGAACTAAACTTTGGCAGTTGATGATGACATTACATGAAAACACGGGGACGCAAGAATGATGAAGAATGCATATTGAAAAAAGTTCTTTTGTTTTGTTTCTAAATAAATCAGCCTTTTTGAAATGTATGTTTTTATTGAATCACTCATTAGGACAGGGACTTGCCGCCACCTACTGGTGGATCTAGTCCAGAAACGGGCAGACTTGATCCTTGATTGATTTGGCCTAAAATTATAATCTCGATAAATCTAACATTTTAACTCAATTACGATTAATGAACGATTATTTAATTAATTAATTTTATTTTTTTCGCCCCCATAGTTCACAGACATGTTTTGTACAGTAAATATGCTCACATATTACAAGTGAAAGATTTCTGAACGAAGGGTGCATTACTTGCTTTTAAAATAAAGTAAACGCACATTACTATCTATGATTCATTATTTATATTATTGAACATCACCGGCGACCCCAGATTATTAAAGAGACTAAGCCGACAAGAAAATGAATGAATGAATGAATGAATGTTTATTAAATTAAATATTTGAAACTGATTAGAACTTGAAGTATTATACTTGAAGAAATATTCTGATAAGGTCATTAAAAGTCTTTAAAAGGTATTGACATTACCTTTAGGATTCCTGCATGTACCCTGGAGCTGAACCTGGTGTTTGTTTTGTTGTTGAGTAGGATCTGGACAGCATGGAAGGAGACCCTAAGTGGATTGATGTGATAGAGAGAGATCTACACAGACAATTTCCTTTCCATGAGATGTTTGTATCCCGAGGAGGTCATGGGTCAGTCTTCACAATATTATATACATTCTGTTACACGTAAAATAATGTTTTCTATTTGAATGCATTTAAACTAAGGCTCCAGTCTACAAGTGCATGGGTAATAAAAATCTAACAAAAAACAACAGCAAAAACTATTTTTGTATGTCTAATTGATGCTTTTTTTTATTGAACACATTAAAGGCAGCAGGACCTGTTCCGGGTGTTGAAGGCTTACACTCTTTACAGACCAGATGAGGGTTACTGTCAGGCTCAGGCTCCTATTGCGGCTGTGCTTCTGATGCACATGCCTGCTGAGGTGAATTCATTATTAAATTTGCAGCACTTATCATATCAGATGTAATTGCGAGTTACATAGTTAAGTAATGATTGTAATGCTCCTTTTTCCTTGTCCTATGTGTATATTCAGGATGCCTTTTGGGGTCTGGTTCAGATTTGTGAGAAGTACCTCCCTGGATACTACAGCGCAGGCCTGGTAAGATATAATTGTTTTATTATTTAATAAAGCATGTCATTGAAAAGCAAAATGGCTGAAGACTGAACGTTATGAACTTCATAGTTTTAGCTAATAGAAACCATGTCTGCGTTTTCTCAGACGCATTCTCTGCTTCATAGTTTACATGCTGTTCATAGCATTCACATCTGAAGTTCACTGTTTTCAATCTGCAAACACTTATGCCGCAGGTGCCAGTTTATTAAAACAAAGTTTTCTTTGTTCCTGTGATTTAAGCTGCGCAAATGTAGGGTACATTTAACAGCAGTCCTTTCCAAAGGGCGGAATAAATTTAGATCAAATCTGTGATTCTTTGTTTGTCTTTATGCCTTTAAACAGTATTGCTGCTGTTATATAATCTGAAAAGAAGAGCACTGTTTAGGTCACTTCAAGCGAAATAAAAAAAACAGTGTGACATTATTTAAAAATAAAAAATCAGGACAAAGTTTGTTTGAGGAGTTGAAACAGCTTGTCAAAGCAGACTTTTTTCCGGAAAAGGAAAAGTTTGAGCGTTGGTCTGTGGCCGTTATATAATAGGTATTTGTAGCTCTGCTGCTCTGGCTTCTTTGACATGGAAATCTTCTCTGGTTCGTTTCCTCTGTTCAGTCTGTCAAGGTCAGACGTCTGTGAGTAAAAACATCAGCTCTGAAAAGCAACACTGACACTGTGTTTTCATATTTAGTGTTGTAAAGATGTTTATTTTAAAGCGGGGGTGTTAATTTTAAAAATGTATAATTTTAATTTTGCTAATGTACATAGTTTGGAGCAAAATCTTTGCTAATATTTCTCAAAAACTCTGCATTTTGCAAACAAACACTTGACACCACATCACACTTGCAAAGAATCACTTGACACGCAAACAAACAGAAACCACATTGAAAAAACAAATGTCAGTTTGAGTAAAAATCCAGTTGTGTTAACAAACAAACTTGTGTTTTACAAATATAAATCATTTTATATTTATGCATTAGGGATGCACCAAAATGAAACTTCTTGGCCAAAACCAAAAAAGAGGAAACCAAGGCCGAAAACCAAAACACCTAAATAAATTATGCCAATTGATAGTACCATTGCATTTATGGCTATGAATGTGTACTAACCTTAGTATATAGGGGCATTTCCCTAATTTTGTGATGTCATGGGAAAACCATGATTGAGGGAATAATGCACAGAAAGAAAGCTCTGTATTTCAATTGGAAGTACATCAACATGAAGGATATTTTTTGTTTGTTTGTTTTTTTGTAAGATGGCTATTGGGTACCCAAAATTGTTAGCTCCCACCTCGTTAAACCAGTTAATACATTATCAGAGATGATAAATTTAAGAAATGAGTTTTTAAACACTAGTTATTACACCCGAATACACTAAGATCCACTCACTTTAACATTTAATGCCACTGGTCAATTTCGTTATCCTATTTTATGTTATGTTTGGTTTGTTTGGATTCGTTTTGAAGCTTGGAGTGCTGCTTGATGCAGCACATAATCTCATTAAGTTGTGTTACGTGTAGATTAAGTGTTTCAAAAATATTCTGAAGTATTTTGATTAAGTTACTGAACTTGATTAATTGAATGACATCTATTACTGATTACTTTTTAAAAGACATTTAGGAGTTTGTCATCTGTAGTGAAATACTTTAAAAGAGTAACCCAGCCCTGCTTGAAGTAGAGGGAAGTGTCTTTGTAGCACAGACGTTGAAGCCCTCTTTTGGTAAAGAATAGTAGGTTGGTGGATAAAACACTTCTGGTTGCTTCAAATTAAAATGCAATAAGCGATCTAGTCATCATAAATAAACACTCACCTGCCACTTTATTAGGTACACCTTACTAGTAGCGGGTTGGAACCACTTTTGCCTTCAGAACTGCCTTAACCCTTTGTGGCATAGATTCAACAAGGTACTGCAAATGTTCCTCAGAGATTTTGGTCCTTATTGACATGATAGCATCATGCAGTTGCTGCATATTTGTTGGCTGCGCATCCATGATGCAAATCCCCCATTCCACCATGTTCCAAAGGTGCTCTATTGGATTGAGTTCTGCTGACTGTGAAGGCCATTTAAGTACAGTGAACTCATTGTCATGTTTAAGAAACAAGTCTGAGATTATTTGTGCTCTATTGCATGGCGCATTATCCTGCAGGAAGTAAATGGGTACACTGTGGTCATAAAGGGATGGACATGGTACGCAACAATACTGTAGGCTGTGGCGCTTGCACGATGCTCAGTTGGTACTTATGGGCCCAAAGTGTGCCAAGAAAATATCCTCCACAGCATTACACCACCACCACCTGTCTGAATCATTGATACAAGGCAGGACTGATCCATGCTTTCATGTTGTTGATGCCAAATTCTGACCCTATCATCCTAATGTTGCAGCAGAAATTGAGACTCATTAGTCAGCCCATTGATCTCAAGATTGGATGTGTTGTGTGTTTAGAGATGCTCTTCTGCATACCTCGTTTTTTAACGACTGGTTATTTAAGTTACTGTTGCCTTTCTGTCAGCTTGAATTAGTTGACCATTCTCCTCTGACCTCTGGCATCAACAAGACATTTGCGCCCACAGTACTGCTGCTCATTGGATATTTTCTTTTTCTCAGACCATTTTCTGTAAACTCTAGAGATGGTTGTGCGTGAAAATCCCAGTAGATCAGCAGTTTCTGAAATACTCAGACCAGCCCGTCTGGCACTAACAAACATGTTCAAAGTCATTTAAATCTCCTTTCTTCCCTATTCTGATGCTCGATTTAAACTGCAGCTGATTGTCTTGATCATGTCTACATGCCTAAATCTATTGAGCTGCTGCAATGTGATTGGCTGATTAGAAATTTGCATTAACAAGCAGTTGGGCGGATTTACCTATTAAAGTGGCTGGTAAGTTTGGATCAGTGCTCAAACCCCATAGCACACTGTTTCCTGGACACGTGATGTTCAACTGCAGCAAAACATTGCACAGCTTGAACATTTTTTTTTTTTTTTTAATCACATAATTCTAATAGTTCTTCCTCTAAATAAAGAATGAGAAGGCCCTTCTGACTATCAGGCCCTTCAACCGTTAAATCTTTTATCCTCCTAAAGCCATTGATTTTTTTTTCGTTTTTACAGGAGGCCATACAGTTGGATGGACTGATCTTAAATGCTTTATTAAAGCGTGTGAGCCCTCCAGCCTATCAGCACCTTGACAAACACAAGATCGAGCCCATCCTGTACATGACAGAGTGGTTCATGTGTGCGTTTTCCAGAACTCTGCCCTGGTCTTCAGTGCTCAGAGTCTGGGACATGTTCCTCTGTGATGGTGAGATCAAACGTTTACAGTCACAGGCTCTTTCTGTTTAATTTTCTCTCTGACCGTGGTTCTGACATGTGCTTTGGGATGAAATAGGAGTGAAGATCATATTCCGTGTCGGGCTGGTGTTGCTGAAGTGCATGCTGGGAACGCGTGAGAAACTGAAGGCTTGTCCTGGGCAATATGAGACTATGGAGCTTCTTAAAGCCCTGGAGCCACGATACATGCAGGAGGCTTTCCTTGTACATCAGGTAATGCACATTCTCACTCTGTTGTTCTGAATTAGGATTTGGCATGTATGTTATTATTATTTATGCAATTTTTTTTATTCATATTTTAGTAATAATGGTAAATAGGGATATTTTAAGTAATATAGATTAGGGTTGGGTTTGGCTAACAGGGCTCGAAATTGCGACCATTTTGGTCGCATATGCGCCCGAAATTTTATCTATGCATGTTAAAATATATTTATGAGCATTTCTGCGAGTGCTTAAAATTGTTGTGTGCAACCAGTTTTTACTGCAAAATGTTCACCACATGTGTGGATTCGGGAGACATTCACGCATAATGCATCTCTAAGCTCTTTGTCTGCACTTGGAACACGAAACGCAGCGCTCAAGAATGGTTTAAAACAGTTGTCATGTCAACTTGCTGCAGTAAACAAATCCAAGTCCGTAATGCTTGCCCCTCCTTCGCGCTCTTCTTATTGGCCCACCACTGCTCTGGCACTGAACGCGAATGATTGGTTAATATCACCTGTCAATCACTCAGTGCCTTCTGGCTTCAGAAGACAGAGAGCTACTACCGCGAAAAATTGTAAAGCGATGAAGATGAGAATGAAGATAACATAACACTGACAGATTTTGTTTTAGAAACCATGGCATCTACAGTTACAAATAATGACACATCTTACTAGTGATCATGTGCTGAATGTTAATCCACCATCTACACTTTTCTAAGAGTAGAAGACTTCCATTGGCTTCAAGTCCACTATGAAAAGTCTGTGGGATGGAATTTTCAGGTAACTGTTTGCCACATCTAGCACGAGCCTCCGTTTAATCCTTCACATAATCGCCAGATGATGTCCGCCATGAAAGGGGCAGCTATATGTCAAATTTAACATCACATACACACCATCGCAAACGGGCTTGCACTGAGTAAACTAACATCGCTACTCCTAAAAAGACCGGTATTGCTATTAACATGTATGCATATAATAAGGTACAGTATATGTCAAAAGCATCAGTGCAATATCCGACAGCACTTGTGAGAACAGCACAGTTATACCGTTAACAGATTCATTCAAGCAGTGCATGCAGGGCCGGTGAGCGCTCCGTGTATGCTTTGGTCACTCAGTTATGTTATAAAAATGTATTTTCTTGTGATAACGGGATTTTGTTGAGACATATTTTCCTCATGCTTGCATATAACGTTATATATGATTTTTTTTGCTTGTTAGGTTGATTATTGTTGATTTCAAATACAATAAATGTTTTTTATAAAACTTTCTAGTAATGGTGCTCATAATTGGTGGGTGCAACTAAATTTTGGCTGATGCGACTAAATTTTTTAAGTTAGAAGCACCGGTGCTACCAAGCAAAAAGGTTAATTTCGAGCCCTGGCTAATATTATTTCTTATTATATTTATTTATTTATGTATTACATTTTTACATTTTTGATTTGAATAATGTATTGTAAAATATTACTTGTTGGAACAGAGCTAACATTTGTTTGTTGCTTGAAATATTTGTTTTCATTTAATAACATATATCAAACATTTTTTTACCATATCATGTACTGTTATTTTTATCATGTTGTTTTATACTTTTATATTGTTCTGGTTTGGCAATTTTTAGTGCCATCTAATTTTTCCCCATCATCAACTGGCAGTCCATTAAGTCAAACTAAGGCAAACATGCCAGGATATTGTAAATTTCAAGAATCTACAAAATGACCAATTCAAAAACTGGGTGCTCTTGTTTTTTTTGTTTTTTTTTTTCCTTTCTTTTCGATGTCTGAGGTAAATTATGTTGTTGCTCTGATAATGGCTATTTAATTGATGAAAAAAGGTTCAAGTTCAAGCTATTTTAAGTTTATACGATGCACAACAGCTCCTTGTTTTTCTGTTCATTGTAGTCTATTAAAATTCAGCTTTTTAATCAGAGAATATCAGGATAAAGCTAGGGAATTTGACATTTAGATACGAGTTGGAGCTTTGTTTAATGCAACACAATGCATTTCAAAATTACTTTAGCTTAAATGATTTAATTGTTTATGTTATTAATATGAATAATGTATGTAAGTGAGTTACTTCACTTGTGAACACTATTTAAAAAAAACAGCAGATGGCGCCATTTATTGCTTTATCTGACATAAGACTACTCACTGATAATACAGGGGTGCTCAGACTCAGTCCTGGAGGGCTGGTGTCCTGCAGATTTTTGCTCCAACTTGCCTCAACACACCTGCAAGGAACTCTTACTAGGTTTTCTAGAAAACGAAACCTAGTAAGAGCTTGATTAGCTAGCCCAGGTGTGTCTGATTGAATCAAGAATTTTGCAGGACACCGGCTCCTCCAGGACCCAGTTTGTACACCCCTGTAACAATATAATGCGTCTACCATGTATATGAAGAAACTGTTTAAGATGATGATAAGATAAAACATGAGTTTGGTGTTTGGTGTAGGGGTCATTACTGCAACCCTAATGAAGTGTAAATTTTGCACATGCAGGTCATGGAGATGCCCATATCTGCTCGAGATGTTGAACGAGAACACCGTGCGCAGCTGAAGCGCTGGCGGAAAACTCATGGCGAGCTCAGCTACAAATCTCCTCCCAGAATGCACGGTGCTCAAGCCATCATGTCTGCCGAGCCGCATTCCCGCCAAGACCTCCGTCAGAAGCCCACTATTGTTGTTGAGTATCCCCTCCCTTCAGACACTACATCTAATTTCGCTCGTGTCAGGAGGAGAAGCACTATCCGAAAAGCCTCTAGTAAACTGGACATCCCCAACCCATATGCCCTTCCCACAGACACCCAACCAGAAGTAGAAACGGCCTCAAACAATCAGTCCAGCCATCCTCCTTCATCACTACAGCAATCACACCTCACTACACCAGCGGGAAAATCCACATCTACCCCTGATCCACCCGACTCTGTCATTCCAACCCCATCACATCCGTCTCAACCACCCAAACCCCAACCATCTCCAATTTTTACTCACATCTCTCCACCTTCTCAAACTGCAGCAGACCCCAGACCTTCACACCCAATGGAAGTCCCTCACCCCTCCAAGATTGAACCGCTTCATAACCCAAAAGACTCGAACAACACCAACAACTCGGCCCACCTTAAAGATCCTCCACACAATTCAAACTCAAATCCACTTCTTATCGAGTCCAGGCCACTTCCTCCAGAATCCAGACAACTTCCTCCAGAATCCAGACAACTTCCCCCAGAATCCAGACTACCTTCCGAATCCAGACAACTTCCTCTAGAATTCAAGAAACTTCCTTCAGAATCCAGACAACTTCCTCTGGAATCCAAGCAACTTCCTTCAGAATCCAGACAACTTCCTCTAGAATTCAAGCAACTTCCTTCAGAATCCAGACAACTTCCTCTGGAATCCAAGCAACTTCCTCCAGAATCCTGGTCGGTTCCTCCAGAATCCAAGCCAGTTCTTCCAGATCTTGGGCACCTTCCTCCAGAACCTGGGCACCCTCCTCCAGAACCCGGGAACCTTTCTTCAGAACCCAGGAACCTACCTCCAGAACCGAGGCACCTTCCTCCAGAACCCCGGAACTTTTTTCCAGAACCCAGGCACCTTCCTCCAGAACCCAGACACCTTCCTCCAGAACCCAAGCAACTTCACCCAGAATCCACTCAACTGCGTGGAGAATCCAGGGCACTTACCCCTGAATCCAGCCCACTTACTCCAGAATCTAGGCCACTCCCTGCAGAACCCAGGCAGTTTGCTCCAGAACCCATACCACTTCCTCCAGAACCCAGTCAGCTTCCTCCCGAATTGAGGCAACTTCCTCCACAATCCAGGCAGCTTCCTTCTGACTCCAGTCTATTTCCACTTCCTCCAGAATTCAGTCCACTTCCTCCAGAATTTAGTCCACTTCCTCCAGGGTTCAGTCCCCTTCTGCCTCCTCCAGAATTCAGTCCTCTTCCACTTCCTCTAGACTTCAGTCCTCTTCCAGTTCCTCCAGAGTTCAGCCCACTTCCTCCAGACTTCATTCCGCCTCTTCCAGAATCCAGTCCTCTTCATCCAGTGTCCAGTTCACTTCTTCCTGGTGATGCTCCTGTGAATGGCGACTCGGCTGCTGCTCTCAAAGTTCTCTGTTTACGTAACTCATGTGAGAGCGTGGGTTCAGAGGACACATACCTGTAGCTCTGTCATTGTTCAGGGAGATTGCAGTATTGGGAACCAGCTTTATGAGCATGACGGGAGGAACATCTATGAATGTATTTTGAGATTTGGAATTGACTGAATCTTCACAATTCTACTCTACTACATCAGTATCTTGCTTCAACTTCAGGAATATATATAAATAATGAACAAGAAGGATCCAATGACATTAAGTCCTTAATTTGATGGCACCGTGCACACATGCAACTTTTTTCATTGTGCTGGTAGAGAATAAACTTCAGTCAGGGTAGGGCCATTTTTTTCCATCAAGAATGAAAATGAGGCTTTGAAGAATAGACAAATTTTTCAAATCTGTTTGACTTTCTTTTTTCCTTTGAACATAAAAAATATATATTTTGTTGAAAGCTGAAAATCATTAACTTCCATGGTACTTGTTTTTCCTACTATGGATGTAAATGTTTTTAGCTTTCTTCAAAATACCTTACATTTGTCCAACAGAATAAAGGCTTGAAACCACTTTAGGGTAATTACATCGTGAACAGTTTTCATTTTTTGAGTAATCTATCCCTTTAAGTCTGTCCCTTACAGCCTTATTTTCAAATATGGTAAATTCTGTATGGCATCTAACCTGAAGTCTTTGTGTTACAATACTCAAAACAATTATTTTCAGTTATAAGCAGAACAGGCTTTATAATCAACTACGTTTGGCTAGTTATTGTGTTATTCGCTGCTTAACAATGTTAGGTCACTTTTTGCGAGATGATGATGAAGATAATGTAAGACTCTCCAGTCTAAGAGTCTTACATTTATAACCGTTCTTTTGAGGATCACTATTATAAGAGTTTGTATTGTTTATATCATGCTCACTAAACTGTTAACATGTGTAAGTCATAATAGGAGCAAAGGAGCTTTTCTTGTTTCGACATCATGTCTGTTACCAGTTGCTAAACGCAGATTTAAGTGAACTGAAATAATTATTAGAAGCAGCTTTAAATATGCAAAAAAAAAAAAAAAAAAAATTCAAACAAGTTCAACAAAACACAATGTGCTAGAAAATAAAAAATGTTCAGGTCATCCTATATTCTTTTTTCTTTTTTTTTTCAGTAGGACATTAAAGAAGATTTATAACTAAAATTGTTGTCCTTGATGATTCATAAAATGTAAGTCAATGTCCAACAGCACTTTGAGAGTAAAAAAATACATATGGGCAAAACAAAATTAATACTCGTGACAATACATTGAGGTCTTGTAAAGCAAAACTATTAGCCTGTGTTAAAAACTGAACTCCTATCACATGATTTTGTGTCCCAAAATTTCATGAATGCACTCAGAACTGTTTGCTGTTCAGGCTGTGGATTAATAGTAATGCTGTTGTAAATAATGTACAGTTTCTTGCATAGACTGAGACTTGTTCTTCAGAAGTATCATTAAAAGCCTTCAGTAATTCATGTAGTTATGTTTGTGTTTACACTTTTTTTAATTCTCAAAGTAGCGCTAGCTGTTGACTTACTTTTTATGAATCGCCAGTGACCTCAGTTTAAGCTAAAAAAATCAGCTTTAATATTCTAGAAACAAACATTGAATATAGAGTAAATTACCAGCAAATCCATTTAATTGTTTGAGCTATTTATCACTTTAAAAGCACAACAGCTGGTCACAGCAAAATTAAAATTAAAATGAAAACTGTGTACTTTATTTACCCTTGAAACATGCCGTTTAGGAGTGAATGATTTACAAAGTTGTCTTTTTAAAGGAGCAATACACTTGTTTTCTTGGATGTAGGCTCGTTTTACATGAGTTTTAGCATTTTTGAATCCATTCAGCTGATCTCCAGGTCTGACGGGAGAACTTTTAGCTTAGCTTAGCATAAATCATTGAATCGGATTAGACCATTAGCATCGCTCTCTAAATTTGATTGAAATCTATAGAAAATGAACATTTTAGGTCGATATTGCAAGGAAATATATTCTCATTCTGACGTAATTAACGAATTTTCACACCCGAACAGGAGTATAGTTTCTAGCATGTTTACAGTCATGAAAATAGCAACTTTTTTAGTAAACAATGTAACTAAAGAAGAGTTAAGCTTTATATAAGAAAATTATCGTTATTATTATGAAACCGATTTATCAATGATTTATGCTAAGCTAAAAGTCCTTCCGCCAGACGTAGATTAGCTTAATGATTAGCTTAATGGATAAAAAAAATTGTAAAACTCAGCTGTTTAACTCTAGGGGAGTTGTAAAACGAGCCTATTTAAGGGGAGAGTTCCTTTAAGGGTGTCTCATACTTTTTTTAATCCTGAGCATTTTTTGTTTTCCTGAGAGTTTTTTTGGTTGTTCAACACAAAAAAAAAAAAAAAATATGAACACATTTTATTAAAAGATTTGCTAATTTCTTGTGTTTAAACTGGTCTTCCAAACAGTATATGTGATTTGTCTGTTTAACACGTCTGATATATTTATGTTGTTGCTAATATGAGAGAAACTGAAGACTGTAAACCTTTTTCATCTCAAGCCTCCAGATGGCGCACTTTCCCTACAATTCATCCATTTCATTTACTCAAACGTCTGCTATAACCATGTTACATTGGGAATTTATTTAGACTCGTCATCAATCATCATCTGCGTAGAGAGAAATGTTACAAAACAGCTACAACTTTATTTTTCCTCACAAACACTTGATTACAAGTTATAGGGAGTTATATTTTGTCCCGTTTTAATAATAGCTGAGACATTCGGACAGTTTTTGTGAAAATTTTCAGCTGCATCTTAATATTTTTGTTGAAATTATGGGAGCACTGTTTGCATTTTGTTTGTTTTTTCGATTAATACTTTGGCAAAACACTTTGGTTTATACGTCTAATATATAATCAATCAACTGACTGTCGCATATAGATTTTGTACAAATAAAAGCACTTCTAATAATGCGCTGTGTTTTATGTGCAGTTTCCCACCGGCTTCACAGGACGTGTCTGTTTTCTGTCACCGCTGAGCTTCAATTACCGTAAGCAAAGCCATCAAAGAGGCTGCTGTAAACCGAAACCTTAATGCTGTGGTTCATCTGAAATGGCCTGTGTTAAGTAGCAAATTAGAGAGCGTCTTTCTTTCTTTTCTTTTCTTTTTTTCTCTGTCTGACGTCTAAAACCTACGTCTCTGGGCACAAATTATCAGTGACAACTGCCTGCCTGAGGTCAAGCTGGAGCTTTGCACAAACTGCTGACCATTAGTTGAGATGAAGACACCTGTTTCTTATTTCCGATAGTTTAATTTTGTGTTTTTAATGTAGCTATTGTTATTTTTCTCAGAACAGCACTTGTAATAGTTGAATTATAAATAATTGTAAATAAGTTTTACACTCAATAAGGTGAGATTTGTTTAATAAAAAGACAATAAAAGGTCATTTTGGAATATCTATATATTCAATCCCAGTTGTAAGAGCAACAAACAATAAATTGACTTCAAGTTGATCATTTGGAAAAGTGGCATAAGGTTGATACTTGCAATAGACCTATTGTAACCTGCATGAACTAAAGATTTTCATACAAATCAATCAAGTTTGGTGAAGAAAAAGTAATGGTTTGGGGTTACATTCAGTATATTTAGGTATCAAGACATTTGTGCTGCCCATGACATTACAAACCACGAGAGAGGGCAAATTGTTCAGCAGGATAGCGCTCCTTCTCATACTTCAGCCTCCATATCAAAGTTTCTGAAAGCAAAGAAGCTCAAGTTGCTCCAGGATAGGCCAGCCCAATCACCAGATATGAACAATATTGAGCGTGTCTAGGGTAAAATGTAGGAGGAGGCATTTAATGTAGCAAGAACACTTTATTTGCCTTTTTAGATGAGTTTATTAATGTGTTTTTTGAGTCAATGCAGAGATGTATGGATGCAGTAGTCCAAGCTCAAGGAGGTCATGCACAATATTAAAACTGTTTCCACTGCACCATGACTTTATATTCTGTACTGTGCATTATTTTTGTTAAGTGACAAAACTTTTGATTAAGCCAAATCAGACCTTACTGTCCTAATTAAATGATTAAATATCAAGCCATGATCATATTTTATGTTGGTAAAATAAGTGTAATCTAGAGGCCTTTGCCTTTCATATAAGCCACTTATGATACCAAATGATCAACTAGAAGTCAAGTTATTATTTGTTGTTCCTAAAATCTGGATAGGTGGCAAGACTTTTGTCAGATAGTGTGTGTATGTATATGTATATATATATATGGATATTTCGTCACCTTGGAATGATAGGGTTCTATCTGTGTTCTGAATGTTTTTGAGATAATGAGCTTCAAAGTTTTTGCATTCCATAGCAAACAGTATGCGTGTAACATTTGTTTTATTTTTTAATAAAATGTCTTAAAATGTAAACAACTTATATTAAAAAACATCCCATAATGTAAATAAGTTGTCCTTTAATAAGAAAACGTCAATAACTCAATTTTGACAAAAATGTCAGATAGAACCTTATAATTCTAAGGTGACGGTATACACTATTAAAAATAAATAAAATAATATTTTAGCATAATCTTCAATGTCTGATTATGATGCTGTACACTGAAAAACATGCAGGGTTCAGAACGGTTAATTGACATTGTCCCAACACATCAATTAGGTTATTTTAAGATATTTAAGTGAATTGAACATAAATCAATTGGTTATCCCCAAAAGATGTCAAGAACTGTGTTATTTCAGCTCATTTTAAAGTAGTTTGAACAAGAAGCAAAAATATTTTTGAGTGTCCTTACTATTATTTAGTTTGTTACTATTGTTAAGTTTTTGTGAAATATTTTTTGTTTGTTTTTATTAATACTATTCGTAATTAAACATTTTAGGAAAACATTTGTTTTCAGTGACTTTAATCATCTTTGATTTAACAAAATGGTTAAAAAAACAATTCTAAAATTTGTTTAAAGTTTAATTTTGTTAATTTTACTAAAAACTGATAGTAGACAAGATATTCTGGCATTAGTTTTTTGCTGCATCTTGTAAAACTTTCACTGAAATAAAAGAAAAAAAGGTGTTTTATTTTTTGTTTTATTTATTTTTATAAAGAATGAAATGAGAAATAAAAAAATATAAACTAATGAACGACTGAAGATAGTTCAAATGAATACTAAATAAAAACATTATTTTACACAAACATTTATATAACCAGATATTATTTAATAAAACTCATTATGAAAATAACAATAAAATGGCTCTAGATAGATCTTTAAATGTACTTTTATTTTGTTAATCCCCAGATCTCATTTTTATTTAGATTTGGTATTTTATGATATAGGGCGAAGCAGTGGCGCAGGTAGTGCTGTATCCTCACAGGAAGAAGGTCACTGAGTCGCTGGTTCGAACCTTGACTCAGTTGGCGTTTCTGTGTGGAGTTTGCATGTTTGCGTAGGATTCCTCCAGGTGCTCCGATCTCCTTCAAAGTCCAAAGACATGCGGTACAGGTGAATTGGGTAGGCTAAAGTGTGTGTGAGTGTGTTTCCCAGAGATGGGTTGCGGCTGGAAGGGCATCCACTGCATAAAAACATGCTGGATAAGTTGGCAGTTTATTCCGCTGTGGTGACTAAATAAAGGGACTAAGCTGACAAGAAAATGAATGAATGAATTTACAATATAATTTACTATTTGGTGCTGGCAAGAAAGAGAAACGTTTCAGCGATGGATCACACTTCTGACTTCAGCCCAAACAAAATGGTTCAAAATAATCTTCTGTTTAGTTTGATTATTTTCATGTTATTTTTTGAGGAATTTCTAAGAATTTATAAAAAAGTTTTAATGAAAGAATTAAAGAAAGTTTTGTTAATTTAGGCAAGACATTCTGCCACTATTATTATTTAGTTTTTGCTGCATCTTGTAAAACTTTCACTGAAATATAAGATGAAGATGGTTCAAATAGATACTAAATGTGGTTTAGAATAATAAAAAATAATAATTCAAAAAAAGTATTGATTTGTGTTAAATAAAATTAAGAACTTTTTTTTTTTACACAGTAAATATTTATATAATGAGATCTTATTTAAAAGAATTTGTTATTGAAGTAAAAAAAAGCAATTGCTTTATTTTAAACTAAAGTTATAGTAATGCCTAGATCTCATTTTCATTCAGATTTGGTATTTTATGATATAATTTACTGTTTTTGTACTGAGAAAGAAATGTTTCAGTGATGGATCATGGTATGACACCTCTGACTTCAGCCGAAGGTGCTTCAGGTTTGTACCTGTGAGAATAGACAGACATGCCTCGGGATAATGCCACATATTTCTCTAGGTCTGACTTTGTCAATTGGTCGTCATTTGCAGAGGCGCCTAACAGCTCCATTCAGTATATTAGTCTGACGAGAGCAGCTGCAGGGCACAGAAAAACACGTACAGATTAAAAATAAAATGAGTGTAAACATGACTAACTATGACAAACACTTGAATGAGAATACTTCTATAAACATTACTCATTCAAAACAGTTTGATCAAAAACATGTTATGAAACCTACAAAGCTTATCAGTCAGCTTTCAAACATTACAGACTCAATTCATTTTTCCATAGGGAAATTTCAACAAAAAATACATTTCCCATGACACTGTACAGAAATTCCACAAATCAGAGAGTAGGAGTGAGTAAAGTAGTGGAATTGAGCTTAAAAAAAACCTACATTTCCCATGATGGTGTACAGAAAGTATACCAATCAGAGAATATGAAATGAGCAAAGTAGTGGGATTTGTGTCTTAAAAAACTACATTTCCCATAATGCTGTACGGGAATTGCACATCAGAAAGTTGGAGTGAGTAAAGTATGGTTAGTTTTTTTTTTTACCTCAATTCCACTACTTCGCTCACTTCTACTCTCTGATTGGTGGAATTTCTTTACAGCATTATGGGAAATGTATTTTTTAAAGCTCAAATTCCACTACTTTTGCTCACTCCTACACTCTGATTAGTGGAATTTAGCATCATCATAAGAAATATAGTTTTGTTTTGTTTGTTTGTTTTTTCAGCACAAATTCCACTACTTGGCTCATTTCATGCTCTCTGATTGGTGGAATATCTGTGCAGCATCATGGGAAATGTAGTTTTTTAGCACAATTCTACTACTTTGGTCACTCCTACTCTCTGATTGGTGGAATTTCTGTACAGCGTCATGAGAATAGTAGTTTTTTCTTGCAAAATTCTACTACTTTGCTCACTCCTACTCTAATTGGTGGAATTTCTGTGCTGCATTATGGTAAATATAGTTTTGTTTTTTCTTAGTACAAATTCCACTACTTTACTCACTCCAACTCTCTGATTGGTAGAATTTATTTGCAGCATTGTAGAAAATGTTGTTTTTTAAGCTCAATTCCACTACTTTACTCACTCCAACTCTCTGATTGCTGGAATTCATGTTCATTTCCTACACAACTACATTTCCCTTGATGCTGTACAGAAATTCCACCAATCAGATAGTAGGAGTGAGCAAAGTAGTGCAATTGAGCTTAATAAAACTACATTTTTCATAATACTGTATAGGAATTCCACCAATTCGAGAGTAGAAGTGAGTAAAGTATTAGAATTGTGATAAATAAAAAAACATTTTCTATCATGCTGTACAGAAGTTCACCAATCAGCGCGTAGCAGTGAGTATTGGAATTCTGCTTAAAAAAAACTACATTTCAACAAATCAACATCATATATAAGTGTCCAGTGGCGGACTGGGACAGTATTTTCACTAGGGTAAAGGCTGATTTATACCTTTGCGTCAATCAAAAAAATGTAACTACATGTCGCAACGACGTGTAAAGCAAGGTCTGTGATTGGTCGACCTAGTACCGGTGACGAGCGTTGGTTATGATGAGAGCCGCGAGCCTGATAGAGCATGTGTTTACAAGTGTCGAGTACTGTGGAAACCTTTGTTTAGTGTTTACCTTGTCAAAAAAGTTTTT